TTTTCTTATTAACTTTTTCCATACCATGATTTTATAGACCTCTATCATATCCCCCTTAGTCTCCTCTTTTCTAAGCTGAAAAGTCCAAGTCTTTTTAATCTCTCTTCATATGGGACCCATTCCAAACCCCTAATCATTTTTGTTGCCCTTTTCTGAACCTTCTCCAATGCCAATGTATTTTTTTTTTGGTAAATGTGCTTGCGTGCCTAGAATTTGTGGGTGTGCTGACTGAACCGTACCAGCACTTAGATTAGATGCAGAGAGAGCGTGTGGTCCCTGCAATGTTGTGTGCAATCAGCATGCACCTCTCCTCATGTGCCCATACATTAAGTGCAAGTCACTTTTGAAATACAGGCAACCCCATACTTACAACTACCCAACCTGCAAACCCCCCGCATTTATGGCCGCCCTGCTCCAGGAGCTGCAGGGCCACCTACCACCCCATTTGCGCCCTGGCATGGCGCAGCCTATCGCCCAGCACAACCCCCAGCCCACTCTGGTTGCCATTTGCGCTGCTGGCTCCAGGAGACTACAACTCCCAGGCGGCAAAGTGGGTCAGGAACGGAAACCCCATTCATAACATTGCCCCTATGGGCAATAAGGATTCGACTTACGACGGCCCGACTTACTGGTTCTCCAGGAACCAATTAGATTGTAAGTGTGGCAGTTGCCTGTACTGGTAGGAAAAAAAACTATATGGATGAAAACCAGCAGAATCTGGCAACCTTGTGTGGGAACAACAGTTAACAAAGTGTCTCACTGCTCACCACCAATCTGGAGGAAACTAACAGTGCTGCAGAGGCAGCTGATCTCCCCCTGTTCCACATTAGGAAGCATACATATGTCCCACGTAGGCCCCAGAATTTGGCCCATTTTTCTTCATCTGATAGTGATTTATTCATTTTAAATTTTTCTAATTTGGGCAGACTCATGAGAAACACACTTCATAATTCATTTTCCGTGAGGTTCCTAAAGAAGGGATTGTTCTACATTCTTGCTCCAGCACAACTCACACCACAAACAGAATAATGCAGTGAATGCCAACTAAAATAGCAAACACTACTAAACAGTCACACTGTACCAGAAAGGTTTCAACTTAGTCATCAGCAGGACTCATACCAGCCTCACTAGAAGTTTTGTCTCAGTACCAACTACTGGACTCCCCCCACCCCCACCACCTTCTTATACACATTTTATTTAGCAAAAGCAGATTTCCAGACATAAAACTGGTCATATGAACTTCAACTGTTACTACAGTAACAGGGCACATATACATATCTAGACAGATAGTAACAAAATGTTTCACTCCTTTTACCTATTTCTTTTTCAAGCAAATACATATATTCTGGAAAATTAAGCATATAAACGCCCATTGTAGCAGACGTGACAACACTGGTCCAGACACCCAAAGGGAACACCTGGGAGGTGTGAACCCCAAGAATAAACAGTTGAATTGACTGGTTGTGTTAGGGTAACCAGATGTCCCATTTTTAAAGGGACAGTTCTGTATTTAAGCCCTCTGACAAGTATCCTGACTTTTTCTTAAAAACAGACAAACTGTCCCATATTTTCTGTCTCCCTCACATCAGTACTAGTGGGTCCCACTGCTGGCCAGATTCATGCATGCCAGGCCCCTGTCCACCAGCAGTAAATGGGGGGTCAAGTGCCCAGTGATTGGGGTGGGAGTGTAAAGCTGGCAGTGGAGGGGAATATGGAGCACACATAACTGGCTGCTCCCTGCCGGTCCCTCAGCGCAGCCCCTGCTGCATGCTAACTCTCGGCCAGCAGGACCCAGCCCCTTATCTTGTTTCTGGTCAGCACTGGCAGTCTCTCTTGGCACCTCCTGCCCTCAAGAAGCACTGAGCTGCTCCGTCCTCTAGGAACCATCCTTTGCTGAGCCACCTTTCTGGCCAGGTTTGCTGAAGCCCCTACAATCAGGTTCCCCAGGCCCTGCTGCAAAAGGCATTCTTAGGGCTTAACCCCTTCCTGCCCAGGCTGTCACCAGGGGACAGGAGGCAGCTGGGTTATGTAGGTGGCCAGCAGCAACCGGGAGGTGTTAGCTGCTTTTTGACACTGTGCGGGTAGGAAGGGACAAGCTTCTTTCAATGTTGGAGGTGAAGGGAGAGAAGAGATGAGCACCGCAAAGACACGGGCCAGGCCATTCTTGTCTCCCTCCTCATCCATCGTTCTCTCCCTCCTCTTCCCCTGCAGCTGAAAGCAGTTCCTTTCCTTTCCCTCCTGCACGGTGCGGGAAGGCTGCTTCTGGCCACATTCTGGTGTGAAATCAGTGGGCATGTGACCCTTTGTGGTCCCACACACACATTGCTTCAGGAAACTGTGGAGTCAGGAGCCAAGAGAGGCTAGTTTGTCCCTGGGGCCCAGCCAGGCATGGACGTTTGAGAGCACCAGGCACGGAGGATCAGGTCAGTCAGTCGCTCCGCCTCCCCTCACCCCGATGTAAGAGCTGTGTAGGGGAGAGTGTGTGACCTCTTTCCACGTATATAGGGTGTGTGACAACCCTTTCCAGGCAAACCCTGAAGCCTTAAAAATAAGAAGATAAAAAGAATCCAACTATGCTGTATTTCTTTTTAGTGGGCTCAGTCAACTTAATGTTAATTTGAAGGTTTGTACTGCATAGTTCTGATTGATTGCCTTTGAACTCTCTTGAATAGGGTGCTATATTCTGCACAGGGAAATAGGTCACTGAGTTGTATACAACATTGTTGTGTATAAATATGCATCAAGTAAGGTCTTTTACAATAAAAGCTTGTAATGTTCTGAACTTGATGGCCATTAGGAGAGACGTACACAGATTACGGCTATGAATATATGCTTGCATATATGGCCAGGTCTATGCTGCCACTTACTTCAGTAGAACATATATTATTCAGGGGTGTGAATAAGGCACACCTCTCAGCAACACAATTTACACCAACCTAACCACAGGTGTGAACAAATGCTATGTCAGTAGGAGACCTTCTCCCACCAACATAGCTAGTGCCTCTTTAATATGCTGATGGGAGAGATCTCTCCTGTCAGCACAGAGTTCCAATGTAGTGCTTCTAGTGTAAACTAGCCCTATGTGTTGAACACTCCTCGTAACTCAGGTACAACTGCATCACTCTAGTGTGGAGAAGGAGTCAGGGCCAGAAGCATCTCACAGACTAGCTGCTTCCATGACACTAAATTCCAACAACTTACTACGGAACAACACAAGGGAAGACAATGATAGACCACTAAAGTTAATGGAAAGACATTGAAATTGAAAACTCAGGACACTTGTTCTGTTTAACATGAGCTACCATACTCTGAAAGGCGAAAGGGAAATTTAGATACCATAGAAGAGTAAAGCCTTTATGTTTATTTTCTGTGTAACTTGTCAGTGTTTGCTTTTCTTTACTGTTTGATTCTATGATTTCTCTAATAAACACACCTTTTATGTATTTTTACCCCCACACTGACCTCTATTGTGCAAATGATGAGAAGAGTGCTTGCTAAAGTTAACTGACAGGTGGGGAAATGTTTAATTCCTTCAAATGCCTAAGTGGGAATGTCTGAATGTCTGGGCATTAAGAACTCAGGGAAACTGATCTGTAGGAACTCAATACCCAAAGGGATTGCTGAAGTCATCCTGCAAGGAGTAACCAGGTTGGTGGAAGGCAGAGTTGAGCCTCTTATGCTTGTAGGCTAGCTACTGGTGTCAGTAAGGCATCCCACATTACAAGGCATACAATGACAAAACCCCTTACTGGTAGATAATCCTAAAAGGATTTGTTATCTAATCCAAAACCTAGAGGAAATGTTTTTTACTTCAAAGGACTTTGCAAGGGGCTATTTTAGCCCCCTTCCTAAATGCTTTGCCAAAGTCCCACAACTTTAATGGGCCCCCAAGTAGTATGGAAGGCATTTTCAGCAATGGCAAAATAGTATTGTCCACATACTTTCAAAGTATGATTGATAATCATCCAGTCTCAACTGCCTATTTTTCTGGAGACAAGTTTCAGCGGGGTAGCCCTGTTAGTCTGTTTCAAGAAAAAACAAGGAGTCCTGTGGCATCTTAAGGACTAACAAATGTATTTAGTGATAAGCTTTCACCAGCCGGAGTCCCCTCTGTCAGGTGTGTGAAGTGGAAACTTCAGTTTGGCGGGGATATACAGCAAGGGGAGTGTTACATTACTCTGGAGAGGGCCAGTGCCAAGGAAGCCAACTCAATCAGGGTGGCTGTGGCCCACTCAACAGTGGATAAAAAGGCGGAAATACTAAAAGGCAGAAATTACTTTTTATAGCAAGCCAGCCATTCTTCGTCTCCAGTCAGACCCAGCCAAGTTTGCATCTGACTTTCAACCCTGCAGTTTCACGCTGCAGTCTAGTTTTGAGGGCGTTTGGCTCAAGTGTAGCAACACTCCCGTCTGGCACCGTGTGCCCGGGGCGGCTGAAGCGCTCCCCCGCCGGTTTGTGGAAGCTGCCATTTGTCAGATGTGCTTCCATGTACTCTTCTGCCTCGACGCAGGCCAGTATGGCCAATGTACGTGGCAGAGGGGCCTGGCTTTCTTGGGTTACCCCTAAAACTGAAAAGCCTCCATCTGCTCTCGGCACGCAACACTCCCGTCTGGCACCGTGTGCCCGGGGCGGCTGAAGCGCTCCCCCGCCGGTTTGTGGAAGCTGCCATTTGTCAGATGTGCTTCCATGTACTCTTCTGCCTCGACGCAGGCCAGTATGGCCAATGTACGTGGCAGAGGGGCCTGGCTTTCTTGGGTTACCCCTAAAACTGAAAAGCCTCCATCTGCTCTCGGCACGCGTGGCGGCCCCGGCGCCCGGCCACGCCAGGCGCGCCCCGGGC